TTTTTTTAAATAAACCAGCACTAAAATCAAGAAAGACGGACTCCTTCCTTACTCAGATCTGTCCAATAAAAGAACTGGGGTATAACAGTTCCATCACTGCAAACGGACTCTCTTTGGGTTTTGGAGGGCAGGCCTGCAAAATAAAAGATCTGAAGGTATTACTCTTTTTTAAAATCATTTTCCTCACCATTCATAAACCAAACAACTACTCAATTACTGGAAAAAATACTGGCAGACATATTAACAATGTAAATAATCATTTGTTGTGACATTTCAGTGTTGTGAGCAGCTTTTCTCTCACCCTCACTGTAACAGGGTGAAGGGAAAAGCCTTGCGTGAAACCCGAACTATCGGTACGAACATATGCAAGTACATGAATATGATGTTTTTTACTTTGCATGAACAGATCCTTTAAGGTGTTTTTTGAGAAAAAGTGTACTGGCTGGTTTTTTAAAATAAAAATACAACCTGCATCAACACTGCAAGGTCAACAGATGTACCCGTCAAGCCGTGACGATGCTAGCCAGCAGGTGATGATGGGTCAGCATCAGGTGTTCTCCTTGCTCACTAGAGCGAGGCTCCCTCTCTGAAATATTCATGAAAAGCAAGGATCTGCTTTCACAGTGGAAAGATTCGACTGTGGGAGCCAGAACTAAACTAGGTGCAGACCTGAACCAACTTCTACACCTCTGAAGTTGCTGCCACACTCTCCAACAGATTAGTTTAACTAACAGTGAAACTGAAAACATCATATGAACATCGACAGGGTTGGGTTTCGGACAGTGGAGAGGTAAACAGTTTGCTCCCTGTGAATGTTGGTTAAAGTACCCAGCATGCAGTGGAAAGATGCAAGTCTGTGGAGACAGGCAGAAACACTCACTCACTGTGTGTTGTCCCTGGACGAGGTGTGTGAGGCGTTGTGTTGAGTCCTGTCCTGTGCAGCCCCGTGGGGAACAGTGAAGGGTGTTAGTCCTTCAGACCTGACACCATGTGACTGTGCTGCTAAAATATTCAGCACCTGAGAGCGAGCAGGGGCGTGGTGAACCTGCCATCGTTCACTCACGCAGGGAGGATAGAAAATCAAATCAAATTTTATTTGCATACTGCCAAATCACAACAAAAGTCATCTCAGGACACTTTACACAGTAGGGTCTAGACCAGGGGTGGGCAAACTACGGCCCACGGGCCACATCTAGCCCGTTGGTCCTTTTAATCCAACCCGCCGAAGATTGGTACAGGATTGCCCAAATCAAATCATATCATAATTGTGACTGCATTCATTTGACCTTGTCCTGTAATGCCTGGTGTTCCACCAGGTGGCGCATTAGGTGCGGTGACACATTGACTTGATTTTGCGGAGCCAGGGCTACTCTCAGTTATTACTCTGCTACTGCTCTGAACCAACCTGCAACAATGAGTGGGCCAAAGAAAAGAAAAGTTGACAGTGAGTGCCGAGTGTTCAATAAGGAATGGACAACTAAATATTTCTTTACTGAAGTCCAGTCAAAGGCTGTATTTCTTATTTGCCAAGAAACCGTTGCGGTTTTAAAGGAATACAACATCAGCCGTCACTTTTCTACCAAGCATGCTAAACTGAAAAAAACCTTAGAAAAATTCAACTGGACTTAGATTTCTAGATCGAAGACGTTTCACCTCTCATCCAAGAGGCTTCATCAGTTCTGACTGACTGGTGTTGAGCCGGAGATATTTATCCCCGTCGGTGTGGTTTCAGTCCTTTGAAGGCCAACAATGTCCCTTAACGACTGAGTCGTTACAGCCCAGTATCGGTGAGAGTCGTTACCTGTCTTTGGATCCTCCCCTGTCGACCAACGCCTATTGTCCTGGTGGGCATGTTCGGGCAGAGATCTCAAAACAGGGTTGTAGATGGAAGACAAGTTGTGTCTTAGTCCACCACCCCTATTTAGTGAGGGGTGTTCTATTTTTACAAAAATAGCTTCCTTAACTCCTCTCTCAA